TGCCTTCATTGCATAAGTACGAGCAGGAGCTCGTCCCTGTTGTTGACTCTGGTTCTTGGCCGGATTAGATCCCGCCGTTGATCGTTGACTTGGCGCAGGTCGTGCTGATGCTGATTGGCTAACAACTAGGGCTGTCGGAAATGGTTTGCCAGGATTAGTGGGGCAATCCCTTCGAAAATGTCTAGGTTTGCTGCAACCTAGACATAATCCTTGGGCAAGCCAACACTCGCCTGGATGATGTCTCCCACATGTATCGCACAATGGGTGTTTCCACCCTCTTGATTTGTTTTCCGACGCCACAGAGTAAGGTGAAGTTTAATTTGGGATGGTCCAAAGAGAAAAACATCATGTTCTTTTGGGGAGATAAGGAGTTGATGACAAAGGCTTGATAATTCAAATTTATTTATATATCAAAGAAAAGTATCATCGACGTGTTTATTTCCTTAAATAAAAGGTGAAGTTTATTGTGGGACATCTAAAAAAGGTAATATGAAGTTATTTTAGGTAGATAAATAGTAAATGACAAGGACTTGATGATTCAACTCAGTTTTGTAAGGGGTAACAAAAATTAAATTAAAAAAAACCTAAGCATGAAATTCAGTAAGACTCTCAAAATAGCTAAATGGATGTGGTCATTTACCTCTGTGTCAACTTTTAATTTTCCTCAAGTAGAGTTTAGCACATACTCTGTATTACGGTATTAGCTAAATGGATGTGGTTATATGCCGTTATGCCATATTCTAATTTTCCTTGTAGAGAGTTTAACACTGATAAGATCCGGATCACTGATAACAGAAGGCCACCTTATTTATATTTTTATGTATGGTTTAATTGAGTTGTTACTATTTTAATTAAATAAGTATTCATTAAATAAAAGGGCTCTCAGGTTATTAGTAGTCCTAAAGCCCTAAGATAGCTTAGTTTGTTAGAACTTATCAGTTTGTTGTTTTGATCTTATCATATCAGTTTGTTTTTTTTGATCTTATCAGTTTGTTAGAGTTGTTATAAATATCCCAACTTCTCTATTCCTGAGATATCCAAAAAATAAACCATTATTCACATTGAGCTTCTCTTGGCATCTATTATTTTTTTCATTAGTGAGATACTTATTGAGAGAATAAAGGGAGAGTTCTATTTAGTCATAATTTAGATCCTAAGTTAATTCTAGTAGGTTTCTACCATTTTCTATCAAACTCTTGTTACTCAATTGCTATGGCAATTACTCGTGCATACGCTACCCACGGTGAGGATGGTGGAATTTTAAAGAAAGTTCTTGTAAAAGGAGAAAAAAGGGAAAATCTTAAGGACCTAGATGAGGTTTCAGGTGTGCAATAAAACAGCTAATGGACCTGGCTTAATGTGTTTTGCAATCTTTTTAGAGATGTGATATGAATTATTTTAAATACTTTCTTAGTTAAGTATGAGGCTCGACTTGAAGATGGAACATTAGTTTTCCAATCAGATGTTCTCGAGTTCAAAGTTCAAGAAGGTATGTCTTGAAGCTACTATTGTTAGTCGATGTGCCCACGCCTTAGACGGGGGTGAATAAGGCGTTGAAAAACATTTCGGAGTTTAATAAAATTGGTGTTGGTAAATGTGGAAGCAATAAATAAAATACAAAATTAAAAGTGGAAAATAAAGATACCAATTTTAAACTGATTCAGGAACTCCCTACTTTAGTGCATTAAGGCTCCTCCTCAAGGATTTTCAAACCCATTAAGTCCCGGTCTCTTAAACTTCATCGAAGCACTGTACTAGATTTGGCAAACAACCCTTGCCAATGTGATTCACCTTGAGATTTCACAATGGCTATCTCGAACCTCTTACAATGAAGATTTGAAGGCTATATTCTACCTTTTCCCCCAAAGATTTGAAGGCTATCCTTGAACCTTTTTACCCAATTAATCTTCTACACAAGGATTTATACGGCTAGCCTCGACCTTTATAATGAGTGAAAGATGTGTCTAAAAACACACAAAAATGTTCAAAACCTTTTAGCCTATGATAAAGAAAACGATCAATCCTTGACAGGTGAAGAATGAAGATTATACTCTCTAAAATAGTGCAAGATCAACCTATGAATGTGAGAGTATATACGTATAATCACAAGCTCGGTGTGTGTTTAATGATATGAAAAACAAGGCTCTTAAAATAACCAAAATAAAAAATATGTAGAACAAGACCAAGAACACACTTTAGAATATGAAATGAGAGATTAGAGCTTGGGTTGATGATCAAAATCAATGAGAATGGTTGGTATTTATACATTTTAGTTAGGAGCCTTTCATTTGAATAATATAGATGTTAAGAGTCTCCAAATACCCTAAATAAGTTGATAAAACCGTTGGAGAAATATTCAATTTAAAATATACCCGTTATGTGTTATTTTAGGCTAAAAACAAAAACGTGTCCGGACAGACTAGAGGTTCGACCGTTAAAGACCCACGGTCGACCATGCACTATTGCAACGGTAAACTTCAGTTAAACAACTACGAAGCGGTCTTGCTACAAAACAGTCCATCTAATCAATCATTTGTAGCCCAATGCATTTGTAATGCGCGGAACTCAAGATTTTAATAAAATTGCCAAAACCTCTTCAATACTTATCGAAATTGAGTGATTAAAAAACCAGCGATCTCGTATTAAAAAGGTCTATAACTTTTATGTTGTAAGGTTCTTGAAATTCACAAAAATATGTTTGAAAATAATTATTTGATTTTACTAAAAAATAAATATCCAAAGGAAAATATTTTTGTATATGTGCAATATTGACTTTAGAAAATTGGTTTAAGCATGTTTTTGAATGCATATTGAGCTTGTGAATATAGGCATATAAAATCACATTCTTACATTCAATTCTACCTATATTCTATTCTAGTTTGGTGTTTCAAGTTCGTTTTTTATAACCGATTCTTAATGGATTAATGTTGTACCTAAAACACTCAAAAAAACATTAGCTCATATATTGTTTGTTAACATCAAAACACAAGATTTACAAACCAAGGCTAACAGCTATTCTTCTGGATTTATGAGTAGTATTTAAAGAATGTTATCTTTATTGTCTAACAACAACCATTTTTATTAGGTTATTTTTGCCTAGCACTTGCTAAGGCTGTTAAAACCATGATGAGAGGAGAGAAGGTGCAATTGACAATGAAGCCTCAATGTAAGTAGCTTGCATGCTAAGTGGACTAATCTTGTGCATGCATCGGTTTGTTTGTAATTGTCACTCGAATATTTTTGCTGCTGTAGAGGGGTTTGGTGAGAAGGGAAAAGCTGCTTCTCGCAAAGAAGGTGCTATCCCCCTAATGCAACACTATTAATCGATCTGAAGTTAGTTTCATGGGAGACTGTACCAAATGTTTCTGGTGATGGGAAAGTCATAAAAAAGATTATGAAGGAAGGGAATGGTTTTAACGCTCAAATGAAGGAGTTGTTGTAAGATGTTAGTATTAAGAAAGTTTAAATGAATGTGTATTAATTAAATAATTAGTGGCCAATAAGTCTATTAAGGAAGTTTAAATGAATGTGTATTAATTAAATAATGAGTGGCCAATAAGTCTATTAAGGAAGTTAAAACAAATGTTGGGTCCATTGCTAATGACTCTTTAACTTTCACTTCTTCCTTTCTATGAACATTTGGGTAGTAAATGAAGCAATGTGTAACTTTCTACTCCCTCCATCCCAAAAATATCTTCACACTTCACTATTCAAAAATCACGAAAATTTTTGTTTATTTTTACATTTTCATTGATTATTTAATAAAATAAAACATTTGTCACCTGACTCACCTCTAATAGAATTATTTAATAAATAAAATAAAAATAATACTCCGTAATAGATATTGATACAAAAATAAATTTTTAGCTTTGTTATATCAAATACTTTCAAGATATTATTTTATCTTATTAATATATAGTATTTATTTTATTTAAAAATAAGAAATGTTAAATACAATTGACCAAAAAAGTCAAAACTGGACAAATACTAGACAAAGGTAGTAGTTTGTAACCATATTATTCTCTTTTTCTCTACGCAAACCACAGTTAAGGTTATTGAACAATAAACTACCAGCTTTTATTATACCTACTAATGTCCCAATTAATCTTCCCCAACTTTCCTCAATCAAAATTTAGACTGATTGGGTTTTGCAAGTATATTTATACTTAATGTGAATTAAACGAACAGAGATAAATAATTATGACATTTGACTTGCCTAACAACTAAGCATCCCCCATAATCATGAGTTGGTATATGGTACATCCGGATGTACCTAGAAATATGTACATCACGATAGTAATCATTTTGAAATAAAGTAGTACTTATTCTCATACAAATATAAACATTCATTTCGAAATACGTAGTACTCATTCTAGCAAAGGTAGTACTCATTTTAAAATAAAAAAGTACTCATTTTTTTACATTTGTCTAATATAATTATAATAAATAGCATAGTGTTCATTCTTAAAAAAACAATACTCATTCTCAAATAAGAAAATGTTCATTCTGAAATAAAGTATTGTTCAAATTTTTCACAATTAAAAAGTTCCGTACCATCATCAACTTCTTCATCCATACCCTTTTAATTGGGTCTTCCTCTATTCGATTTGTTCCTACTCATTTATACTCTCTGAACAGGGAGAATTTAAAACTCAAGTTTATTCATATTTGTATTGAATAGGAATATGATAATTCTCATAAATGCTGGTACTTATTCTCAAATCTACTGGTACTCATTGTCATATATAATAGTTCTCATATATGTTCTGGGTATTGGATAAAAAGTTTATAAAATTTACAAAAATACCAAGCTGTACCTAAAGGAAGATACAGCTAGATGTACCATATAATTTGCCCAAAATCATCTCCTACATGAGCATTGATAAACCCTATTATGTTACTTTATTATGAAACTTACTACTGTCAAACCCACTCATTAAATATCCATTGCAAATCCAAGAAAAGAGAAAAAAGATCAATGGCAACATTCAACAACAAAAAAGAACACATGTCAAGCAAGAAAAGGTATTCAAAATCCCTTACATAACATTGAAAAACCTCAAGAACTAAAAGAGGATGAAGAAAATATGAATTTAAGCAGAAGCACCGGCAGCCTTGCCCTTCTTCCTCTGGAGCTTTTTCATGTAAAACTCCAGTTCTTTCCCCTCCAAAATGTACCTACAAATGTCAAATAGAAGGGGTAAACAAAATTGAAAATGCACAGAAAAAAGAAAAGTTGGAGCCAAATAAATCTACTATGGAGAAGTAAGAAAAGGATATGGTTTTGGGGCTTTACCCGTCAGCTCTGCCGCATTGACCTGGACGAGAGGAAATGCATGCCATAAGCCTGCCTGAACCAAATTGCTCTTCAAGGTGGGGATCAAGTTTCCGGTCCTTCTGGCGGGTCTCAAGCTTCCTCAGGACATGTTTGCTTTTCTCAGTCTCTTCAGCAGCTGCACCTTCAGTTGCTTCCTGTCATGTTTAATTATAATACCAATTTGCAAATCAAGAATGTTTAATGATTCATAAAGGCAATTAATCAAACATTTGATACTTGCAAAAAAACTAGAAAAATGTAAAGGAACGTCATCTGTATGTCTTAAGTTTTGCGCCTTCAAAGACAAAATGTGATTAATTTTGCTTAATATGCATTTAGATTTACTGGTGTTTATACAAAAATATACAAAATTAAATAAAATGAGACCTCTCAATCCTCTCACCCAGCCAACTATGCTCACATGGGTATACTTTTCCTGAGAGAGTGTTGACCAAAACACATCATGTCATCACTAATTAAGAGCATCAAATTACCTCAGTAGTTTCCTTCTTAGCTGCTGCCTTCTTCTTCCTACCGATGTCAACACCATAGTGCTGGAGATACCACTGCTTAAAGGGGGCAGCATCCACTTGAACGATTGCACTCTTCACCAATGTTTGAGTTCGGACAAGCTCATTGTTTGAAGCATTGTAAACCACATCTAGGATACGAGTTTTCCGGGTAACTGCCTCACTGCCCCATGAATAGTTCCCAGTGTCCAATCTCAGGGCTCTCCACTTCACATTTCCACCCCTAACACGGACCCGTCGGACGGTTTTGTTGCTTGAGATCTTTGTGTTCGCAGGCTGACGTCCGAGCTCATACCTTTGAAAATTAGAATAAACTAATTAAGAAAAAGTACAACTACATCAAGCTAATAAACACTGCTAACCATTATGAACCATGAGTAACAAAATTCATACAGTATCACCATGAAATACAAAGTAAATTTTAACCGAAATCAAACCCAAAGAAATCTCAAAGGAACCAGGCTGCAACTAAAAAACAAATCAAATGATAGAACCATTTTCCTAAATTATTAAATCAAAGGGTATACAGCTGAAAGATTTCCACTAGGGAAAACATCGACAAAAGAAATCTAGAGTCTTTGGTATAGCCAAACAAATGAATACACGGAAAAACCAATTTAACAGATCTGTTTCCTGCTGGATTAAATTGTATTGATAGATTTACGGAGTTCGGTAAGCAGATATGCTCACAGTATGGAAACCCAAAAAACAACCGGCCAGAAAACTCCAAAATGTCGATATAGCTACAGCCACCACGGCAGTCAAGATTCAGGGTACAAAAAAACTTTCCCTGACCTTGGTAAATGTAGCCTTTATAAATACTCCGCAAGTGAATTTATTTAAAGCAAAACATGAAAAAAACAGTATCAGCTGCATAATTTATGTCATTTTTAGTTCCCAATAGCAAATCGGCAAGTTAATTTTCGTATGCATCTAGAATGAACTCGAAAAATTGAACAATGGAGTAAGAGAAGAAGAAATGCTGCAAAAGGGAAAAACTTACTTGCGCTTCTTCCTCCAGGCCTTCTTCTTGCCACCCGTTTCACGCCTCTTGTGCATCGAATCACGAGAGATACCTTTTCAAATGTACAGAGATCATCACAAGGAATCGCAAATATGAACATCAAAACGAAAAATGAACACGATTTCGACGTCTACAACTTAAAAACACAAACGTTCGATCAATACACAGAATTAACAGACAAACGATCAAGGTTTAAGAGATTATACCCATCTTTGCTTTGCTGGAGAAGAAGAAGAAGATTTCTCCGAGTTCAGCCGCTCCGTAAAACCTAGAAGAAGAAAGAGAAGAAGCGGCTCTTAAATCTTAAATCAGGGAATTTAGTGGGCTGTATCGATATTGACCCATTACTAAATTCGGCCCAATAAACTACCCATCACTGCAGCAGTAAGTGTACTGGGCATCGCATTCTCTCATAATACAATTATTAAATACTACGTATTTTTTCTATCTGGATTAAATTTTGAGTAAGTATTTTTAATTACAAGAATTTTTTATATTTAATCTTCTATATTATCAAATATAACATTTATGATCTTTTTTATGGATAACTTTCCAAGAATATAATACTCTTTTTTTTATCTTCTATCATGTTGGTATTCAATTGAAGACTAAAAATGTAATTTCACAATAATCATATATCTTTCTTATCATAACCAATGCAAAGATCACTAGCTAGTAATGCATCGTTTGTTGATTAGATTCACTGTCTACTGCAACCATAGCCTATATACATCGTCTCTGATCAAAATCCTAGTCCACTACCAAAGTTATTGTTGTTATATTGTCCTTTAAGCCGACATCAGAATACGTTACTGAACATAAGATCGATGATGAGTTATATTTTTAGCTATCAATTAAACATTATATGACAAAAAATCAAAAAAAGAACTGTCTGTGAAAGGTAACCATAAAAAGGACTCGGATGTAATATTTGATTATAAAAGATTAAAATAGAAAACTCCCTTTTATAAAGGATAAATTATACTCCCTCCGTCCCATAAAACCTTTCTCCTTTCTTTTTTTATCCGTCCCACAAAACACTTCTCATTTCTATTAAAAAGTCACTTTTACCCTTTACTTTTTCATACCCTAACTATCACATCATATCTTTTTACTAATAATCTATCCATCAAATCATACTTTTACATATCATATCAAAGGACATTTTTGGAAATTCAATACTAAAATACACTCCCCTTAAATCCCTCCTAAAAAGCAAAACTCCCATGTTTCACGGGACGGAGGGAGTAGATTTTACTCTTTATTTTTCCTATTTCTTTTTATGAAATAGGAATCATCAATTTTATGAACGGAGCTCCGTAGGGGGGGCAGTGGCTTTCGTGGTTACTGGAATCCAGTGGCCATGGAACCGGGCTCTTTCTTTTTTTCTCGTTTAGATTTAGTATTTTCATTTTTTTCATATACATAGAGAAATACTCTCCTTTTTCAAATAACTCACTGGCTTTCATTTTTTAATACTAGTTTTTTGGATAAATCTACTTCATAGTACACCTATCTTGAAAATGTAGAGAAATGAAAATAAGAAGATTAAATCTGGATGGAGAAATAATAAGGTTACGCAGAAAATCTCAAAAATGATGTGTATAATATAAAAAAACGTGTTTAAAAGAAATTGTTAAAAAAATACAAATTATGTGATGTCGTTTAGATAGTAGATTGAATATGTATTAGGATATTTTTTATGTAAATCATGAATTATACATTCATTGAGCTTAATCTATAAACTGAAACCTTATTTTGAACTAAATGAAAAAGAAATTCGAAACTTTTTTCTAGACTAAGAAAGAAAATTACGTATGATCAATATAATGAAAATTTCCAAGTTAACTTTGGTTTTAGATTTTTGTTTGGATAAGAAAAATAAAGTTAGATGTTCAAACAAGTTCGAAGTGAAAGCACATAATGGTCCAACAGCATCAAGGTGATTATTCCACGTGCGACGAGGTCACATTTCGAATCTTGGAGGGGCAATAATTATGTCTTTAATAGATTGAGATTGTATTCTAATAGAATTATTAAGGAAGGTGGTGTATTCAATCATGATTCTGAAAGATATTAATAGATTATTTAAAGTATATGGATTATGTAAAATCTATGCATTGTTTTAAGTCTCTATAGAGTTTGGTAGATTTTAATATATTTTATTAGCAGGATTTATAGAATTTTGTTTCATTGTTTATAATCCATATATTATTTATACATAAATATAAATTTTTTTATAAATTTAGTCATTGTTGTAACATCAACTATTGTAATTAGCTTTTAAAAATTTTGTTTATGAAATAATTTATTTTAAAAAAATTATCATTATTGTAATATATTTATTAGAATAAAATAATACTATGTATATATAGTGTTCATTGTCCTAAGCAATAAATATGTTGTTTTCAAATAATACTATTATTATCTCTCAAGTATTCTTCTTGTATGTCAAAACTCATCAATGAAAATTTAAAGACAACACAAAAGAAGACATTATCTAAAATCTAAATATTATTGAAAAATAAAATTAGTAAACAATATAGTCTTCCATTTCAATTTCATTATCATCAAAATCTTCTTCATTCTCCTCAGTAGCATCATTTTGTGGTCTATCTCCGTTGCATCATATGATTTATAAGCATAACTATTGTTGTTCAAATAGTTAATAAAAAATAAATGAACAAAACTTAATGAAATAAAATAAAAATTGCAATCAAGACCAAAGCGTAAATAATAACCTATCTCTCAAAATAACAAGCAAACCATAAATTGAAACAACACTAAAAACATTCAATAAAAAACCCATGGCGCAGAAGAGGATTTCAATTTGATCATACTTGGTCACTGCGGTTTTGCAAAGAAGAGTGCTGGGTGGAGGCGTCTTAGAGCTGGAGAGAAGGGCTGATATTTGGTTTTTAACATTAACCAATTATCTAAACGGCGTGGACGGTGGCGTTGGTGGCGGCCTGGGAGAGATCCTTAAACCTAGTGGCATCTCGCTGCAACCGCATCCCAAATTCGAGATGCGGTCGACGTGATGGAGTTCGAGAGCAAGGGAGGTCTCGCCGGATTCTGGCTAAGAGTTAGACTCTTAAAAATGGAAAAAAAAAAGAGCAATTAAGATCTATGAACAACTGTGAGGGTAGACTTGATTGCTCTTCCTTGTGAGGGTGGAGAAGGATAGTCGGTGGTCCTTGTTCGGTGGTCACAAAGTATCACTTGCCAACAAGAAGGAGAGAATGAAGGAGTAGGTGAAAGTTTTCAAAATCATTAACTTTTTGATGAGATTTGAGAATTGATTTGTGTCCTATCTATCTATTATATATAAATTTGAGACTCCAATCATTAAAAATTCGACATGTGGCATATTCAGAAGTTGACATATGGTATATTAAGAATTTGACATGTGGCATATTAGTTAGCAATTTAACAAAATTTAATCTCTTCCATTATTTTATTGTTTTAACCCTTTTATGAAAATCATAAATACTTATTTTGAACTCTTTAATCCAAATTTAGAATTAAAATTAATTTCCCTATGATTTCTTATTTTTAATAAAATATTATTTTTTCAAAACTATACATAAAAGTATTTTAAATATCAGTCTCAAATTGGATAAATCATAAAATTTATGAAATGATTTTGAAATAATAAATAAAATATACTTCTCACCTGTAAAAAATATATTTGTTCATTATACGTTTACATGACATTGGCTTGATTATATTTACTTAAATATTGACACCTATCAAATAAAATACTTTCTTCACCAATAAATTAATTTCTCCGTATATTTGATTTGACGCCTAATATGTCACCTAATTTAAGATATATAAAATGTACACTTCACGCCTAATCACTTATATATATATATATATATATATATATATATATATATATATATATATATATATATATATATATATATATATATATATATATATATTCTTTAGATATAAATATCTGACTCCGATCTGTAAAAGAATGACATGTGTCAAAATTGAGAGAATTACATTTATCGAGACTTAGAGAATGACATGTGAAAATATTTCATTTCCTTCTCCTTCCCTCTTCAATTATTTCATCTTTTTTTACTATGTTTTCAAAAAATGATAATTGATTATTTTGAACTCATGAATCTAAATTTAGAAATAATAGAATTAGTTAATTTTAATAAAATTTTATTTGATCACAACTATACGTGAAAATATTTTTAATACCTGACTCGGATTCAATAAATAGTAAAATTTGCGAAACTTTTGGGCATATGAATACTTTTTGTAAATTATAGACGTATTTAATAAAAAATAAGTATAATATTCCTTTAAAAATATATCGACTACTAAACTTAAAATTAATGAAGATTTTATTAATTATCTATAATAAACCTTTTATATAATAAACAAGATATTCTCTACACCTCTATAAAATATCATATTTTTTAAATTGATATTTAATATAAAGAAGTTAATTTTTTATTTTATCAATTTTAATGAATATATACACACACACACACATATATATATGTATGTATGTATGTATGTATGTATGTATGTATGTATGTATGTATGTATGTATGTATGTATGTATGTATATATAAACTAGATCAAAAGATCTACAAAACTAGATTATATTATTTTATCAAATATTATATATTTAGATTAGAGAATATTAGTATAATCCACATAAAATTTGAAGATAAATAAAGAATCATTAATCTTTTATACATAAAAAACGAGACTTGGATCTCTAAGAAACTAATGTGTGAAATTTTATAAACTAGTATTTAACCCGTGCAATGCACGGGGTCGAACGCATGTTGTTTTTAACTCTGTTAAATTTTTTATTTTAGTAAATGGTAAAAAAATATAGCTAAAAATAATATACAATGTTAGAAGTTTAATGAATGATATGACATAAACAGAGTATGCTTACTAAAGTTCATGTATATAAATGTATTAATTACATCCAATTTTTTTGGAAAACATCAGGATAAACCACATTTTTGGTGCAATTGCAAGAGTTACTGTTTTCATCTAAAACTAACACTTTTAATCCTTTTTAGATTCCACTCATGGAACTCCAACATAAAGTTGACTGAGTATTTGTTCAGTTTTAATGTTTTCAGTCAATCATTTTCAACCTCTTACCTATAATTAAATAAAATATATATTGTATATTAACTAGATAAAATAATATTTTAAAAATATTTGATATAATAAATCTAATAAAAAAAATTTGTTTAAATATTTAATATCATTTTTATTTAATTTGAGAACATACACCAGTATTTAAAGGTAGTCTCAATCCAAAGTGCTCAAATAAATGTTAACTATATTCTGAATCCAAAGTGCTGAAATAAATTTCAAGGGCAAACAAAGTATAGAATACAATAAGATAGATGAAATCCTTCACTCAAAACTTTATATATTGATTGTTGACAGTTACATCAGCCAGGGTAGGTTTGTTTAAGCCTCCATTTCCCTTGGCCTTTAAAATAAAATTACAGAGAAATTTAATAACCCACCTGAAAAACAAAGGGGAAGGTCAAAATTCTGTGCGGGACCCAATAATTTGACGAAATGCCAATAATAACATAGCTTGCAGTAGATACTTGGTTCATTGATACACATTAACAAATTATCATTTTCACACACATAGGAGATGGTAAACACTATAAGAAATGGTATTGAACCACCAAAGAAATGAAAGAAAAAGGTAGAAAGAGCTTATTAACAGCACTCAATATCATTGTTAGGGCTTTTAATAGTTTTTTATTGGCCAATTTATATTTTTATATTATTTTAATTATTAAAAATCAATAATTTTATCTCTCTATTAATAGTAGGGGTAAAGTCTACATACGCATACTCTCCCTCCCCAAGCCATATAACTATTTCTTCCTGAAATCAGCATTAAAATATTTGGACTCTTGACCCTCCAACTTGTTTACACTTATCTTAGTTTTGAGTATAGTGAACGCACCAGTGCACGAAAAAAGAGTAAAGAATTGTCCTTATTTAATCTAAGCACACTCTTTAGAACATGATTTTCAATGTGCGAGGCTAACATTAAAAAAGGGAATAACCAAGTTTTAAGCAAGACATTATACTCTATAATTGAGAATCTAAGATTTCCATAGATTGAACGACTTTCTAGAGAAGAGGTAGTTACCTTATGTGATATTTGATCAGGAATCCTGAGGCTTCAAGAATTATGTCCCATCAACCTAAATTTAAGGTTCCCATGATCTTTCAAAGTGGACAAACCAAAATTAATAGATAGAACAAAGTGGTAGAAGGTTATAACATTTTAGAGGGATTTTGAGCATTTCATGTTATAGTGGTGGGAAAGTTTATCCTTTACTTACAAAAAGTGATAAATTTTGATGTGTGTGGTGATATTCTTTGCTCTTAATTTTAATATTAACATCAGTGCTAAACAAATCTCCTTTCTTTGTACGCGATTACTTTGACTGGTGAAAATGACAATAGAACAGATAACGTGTGAGCATGCAAGTACATACACATGAAATCAAAAGTAAATTTCGAACACAACTGCTAAAAGATTAACTAAAGCAGTAAACCTTTATTACAGGCTATGTTATAAATTAGTGTCATTATTTATACTGTGTGCTCTAGCAAACATTCATTCACAATTAAATGCTTTTTTAAAATTCGTGTTAAGTTCAAAGTTTTATTTAATCCGTGAAGAGGGAATTGCACCATTGTTTTCCTAAACCACATTTTGACCTAAACATTTTTTAATGCAATCCACCAATTGTTTTAAGTTTTGTTTCTTAAAAGTCCTTTTTTATGCTTCATGCTTTTTGAATTTGTGTCTTCAGTATTACCTGGGTAGTTGCACAACCCATCTCTTCGGCACTGGTAACTGCTAAGAATGCATCTTACAACAATGACAATTGATAGATCTTAGTAACAACGAAGTAGGGTTTATTCTTGAAATTGATAGATTCATAGTAAAAAATCTAGCCCTTCAAATAGGCAGACCTAAACTTAAGCTAATTTCGTGAAAACACATGTGAATTTTTAAATCTAAAATAGTAAATATACAATATTAAATGAGCCAAGTACACATATTGATTACAACTGAAGAGCAATAAAAACACTATCTGCAAAGCCACCCTCTTGTTTGAGTACAGGCAATCAGGCGACCTCTCTCTTCCCACCGAACTTCTTTAAGGTACTGCAGCCATTGTTTAATACTACCTCCGTCCGGAAATATTCTTCCCATTTTCCTTTTTAGTCCGTCCGGAAATATTCTTCCCATTTCCTTTTTTAGTATGATTTTTAAGGCTAAATATCAATTATACCCTTCTATTTTATCACAAATCTACTTTTTAATACTTTTTTAATAATAAAAGGATATTTAAAAGTTTATGGTAAGTGCATTTTTGAAAATTTTGCATTTTTTTTACTATTCCTTAATAAGCGTGCCAAGTCAACACGGGAAGAAAATTTCCGGACGGAGGGAGTAGTAATGAATAACATTTAATTAAAAGAAATCCAAAATTTAATCATTGGAGTAATTTTTGAATAAAAAATATATCGAACAAACTGTAGAAGTGTCGCAAAATGATTGAATTTCTCAAAAATATCTCAGGAATCAAGGTCATTTTTACGATGCCAGTCTCCCCCACAATGATAGTGGTGGAGTGCCCTGATAGAGAATGGTAGCCCTGTACTTGTGTATCGATAGCCGTTCCCTCGCTTCTTTATAGCCTCGACTGTAAAATCCAGAAACTGCAACTTTTAGCCCTTATGAGACTAATAACACACACACACACACTCACAACAATCTCAAAAGAGAATCTTTATGCATAAATTCACCAAGCAAGAATTATGAATCGTCTACAGCAAAACAATAAAAACAATAAAAATTAACCAAGCAAAAGAATAAAAACAAAATACACGTGCTTAAATAAATAAAGTAAGAACTATGAATCATCTTAAACATCTGAATTCAAAGAACTATGTGAAAAACAAAATGCTATGTATTACCTTCGTCTTCTTGAATACTTCCTAACATCTCTAGAGTGTAAAACTTTTTTGTTACTCCACACCCTCTATCATCGTCAGCTCACCAATATCTCTGAGCTCCGTCCACAACCGTTTTCATTGCTGATTTATAACATAGCAATTTGTTAGGCTTTAAAGAGTGGGCCAGCGGCTCTACTACAAAGTAGAGCAGATGTTGTAGATTGTTGCAAAGGCAGAGATTGTGGTATGTCTTCTCGTCGCCGGGGGATGGAAACGAAAATCATAATAAAAAATTACACAAAATTTAATCAAGAAAAGTAATACTAACCTGCGACATTTCCACGTTCTAATGTTACGTTGAGGATGATAGCCGACCCTTGAGCATCCTACTTTAATTAACGCCCTCTATATTTCCCAAGAATAATGACTATGTTTCTATTGGGAAAAAAATTCACAAACAATTTAAATAGATCAACATTCATTCTTAGATAAAATAAATATTGGAATTAAATGGCTTGCTTGGACAAATGAGAAACCTAATCTAAAAAATGTTAGTTCTAAATTGTGTTGGCATTATTTTTTGACAAACGAATGGATTTATCTAGAATTATTTTAGATGTTTTATTTAGAATTAGAGTCCTAGCATGTGAAGGAAGAGGAAAAGGAAAGAGCTTGAAGAGAGAATTCTAGTCCTACTTGGATTCTAATCCTACTTGGTTTACAATTCATAAGGAGGAGACTATGGTTGAGAATCCTAAGCACACTCCAACATGGCTATTCTATTCTATCAATATCTTCACCCTCCCTTAGGGTTTTGTGCGTGAAAAACTACTAAAAACCAGAAGGAAATTCGATCAAAAGAAAAAAGTGCAGATTTTGAGACTGTAAATTCTCTGAACAGCCCGCACAGATTTGATCACCTCCAGAGATCAGACCGTTGGATTTTTCTGAGATTTTCAGAGAGTGTTCTCAACACATAGGGCCTTAACTTGTTCAAATTTCACGTCAATCGGAGTTACGGATCTTTTTTATCGAAGTTACAATCTACACACTGTTGCTGATTTTTTGCAGAAAACACTGCCCTGGTTTTCTCGATGGTTGGAGTACCAAATCTTGTCTGATCGTGCTGAAATTTTAGGAGGAGTCTAAGGACTCGTGGAGCTTCAATTTGAACGGTGGAGATCGAATTTCAACGGTTCAATCTCGCGTTATGAGTTTCTAAACAGCCTGCATATTTTTGTAGATCAAGAAGAATTTTTAGTTTAAGGTGTATTGGAATCTACGTCCTTGAAGAAGATCTTTGAGAAGGTGTAACAAGCCGTGGAGATAGACGCAAACCGTGTTTGTCGTCAAGTCATTCGTAAGTAGACAAATCAATACATTAGAAGGTTCTGTTGTGATTGATTGTGTAATTCTTACGGTGATTTAGTGGAAGTGCTATTACACGTACGTGGGCCTTGCAGGCGTAGGAGAATTTGCTCCGAACTGCGTGAACAATTCTGGTGTCTTGCTTGCTGTTTTTACTTCATATTTTACGTGTGTGCTTGTGACAGAGAAGTGTTATAGCACACTGTCCGTCATCTGTTACTGGACAGTGCTGCAGCGTCTTCTCTACAACATAATTGATTGTTTTGTCTGCATAGCTTGTGTTTGCTATTATCCGTTGCACCCCCCACGAACTTACAAAAAACTCAGTCAATCGCATAGACGAAAAATCATGTTGAAAATTCAGTCAATAGCATAGACGAAAAATCATGGTTCTCTTCAACATGTTATCATATTGAAAATGCTATAATAAGTCAAAAAAACAAAATTTTATAATCACTCAAAAAGGAAATAATATCCACTTTTTTTAAATACAGTTTCTATTAAAGTTTGAAATTATCTTAAATCAATCAACGAACAGAAATTTACGAAATGCTTGATTTCTTAAAAAATCTTAATAACATATTGAACAATAATTTCTTGAAATTGAAAGAGAGGCTAGAAATAAAAAAAAGAACTTAGAAGGGTTTATGTTGAGATTTTAAGCACGTAAGACTATTAAAATATCAAGAACGTGAAAAATAAATAACACACTACACAAGAAGAAAATATGAGAGAAAAATTATATTTTCACTATTTCAGAACGATACACAAAAAACTCTCCATGTTTACAAGTGCTAAATACCAGACACTTATAAACAGACTTTTCACACCCTACACCCGGATGTATTTTTTCGAGTAACTAAAACCAGTTACTCCCTACACTCACTCACACAATGTTGGTGATATCTTGTGTAGACTTCTCTCTTAACCTTCCTCTTTTTTCCTTCCCTCCTTACGGTATTGTTGCATGGATTTTAAATAGCCAAATACACAATAGTGGGGAATAATCTAGCTCACACCTCCAAGAGAAAGAAAACAAAACTAAAAAAAAGGCTCTCCATCATTGCAGCTCCTCTTGGTTGTTTCCACGCGGCAACATCTCTTTTTTTATTCCTTTTTTTCTTTTTAATTAATCAATCCCAACAAACTCCACCTTGATTAATTAATCAAACCATGGTCCGGCTCCACCTCGCTCATTTCGGTGAGGTCACAGTATCCACCAATCCGAGAAGCTTCAAACGTCACCCGCTTCTTCCATGTAAATGCTCCGCTTGTTGCACTTGTAATTCTTCCTTCTGACAGCTTCCGTGTCAAATCTTTTTCCACAAGTTTATACAAGCCTTTTGACAAAACTCCTTTTGCTACCACCATTGCTCCCCTAGAAATTTTTAACACTCCACCTTGAGCAAAAATTCGGTAGCCTTCTAAGTCTAAAGCCCCCAATGAAATCAAATTTCCTTTTAGACCCGGTACATGTTTCGCTCCAGTTAATGTTCTCACCACTCAATCAAACATGCAAACTTGCACTGTTCCAACCCCTGCAATTTTGCTCCGTGCACCATTTGCCATCTTCACAACACCCCCATCACAAGTTTGATACGTATCAAACTTTTCCTTAACTGAACACATGTGAAACGAACAACCCGAATCTAATATCCAATCCGATTTACCTAGATTCTTTGTGGTTGCCAAAAACAAGTCTTCTTCACTTTCTTGGTTCGAACTTTCTGCAACCGCAGTCACGGGTGTTTTCCCGTCCTTCTTTTCCTTCCTCCTCTTTGGACAATCCCTTTTGAAATGACCCTCTTCATCGCAGTAGTAACACCGAAAGCTTTTACTACTCGATTTGAAGCGTTGGGACGCGCCGCCCCTCTCTTTAGACCGTCCTCGTTCCCGACCAGCTCCTTTTGCTACCAAAGCTTGACCGTCGTTTGATACCCNTTTACCTAGACTCTTTGTGGTTGCCAAAAACAAGTCTTCTTCACTTTCTTGGTTCGAACTTTCTGCAACCGCAGTCACGGGTGTTTTCCCGTCCTTCTTTTCCTTCCTCCTCTTTGGACAATCCCTTTTGAAATGACCCTCTTCATCGCAGTAGTAACACCGAAAGCTTTTACTACTCGATTTGAAGCGTTGGGACGCGCCGCCCCTCTCTTTAGACCGTCCTCGTTCCCGACCAGCTCCTTTTGCTACCAAAGCTTGACCGTCGTTTGATACCCCGTTGCCACCCCGCCGAGTCTCGTTCATCAACAACGCATCAACTACTTCATCAAATTTTAAGGTCTCTTTTCCAAACAAAAGCGTGGTCACGATATTGTCAAAAGATGAAGGCAATGAAGCCAACAAAAGCAGCGCCTTGTCCTCCTCTTCAATCCTCAAAAAGTAAAAAACGGAAGTTTATTTAGGGACGGGGGAGTCAAATAAAGAAGGATCGCCAAACAATCCCAAGGTATTCCGTAGCCGACTGCTTTCTTCCGTAGCTAATTTTTTCTTGGTAAGAGATTTTGGAGAATTTCTTTCTATGAATAAGATGCTCATTTAATGAGATCTTAAATTTTTGGTTGAAGAGTTTCGTTCCGTGAAAAGTTTCCTTGTGAAGATTTGACTTTTTTTAAATTTTCATTCTATGAAGAAAAGACATGTGGCGAGCCCTAAGCAATGCCAAATGGAAACTTCTTAGAATTCAAACTCTCAAATATTATATTAAATGATTTTTTCTCTTCATTTATAACAAGATTTTAGAATAATAAATGAAATACTCATTTTATTGTCTGTAGAAGATCTTAAGGGTACTGATAACTCACTATAGAAGATTTTATTATGATATGATATTTGTCATTACATTATAGAATACAATTGAATAAAAAATGTTAAAGAAACGTGCAATTTTAGAGGGGGGTGAATAGAGTTGTTTTCAAGAATGTGCGTTTTTCGCGTGTGTGAAATAAAAAATTGCATGAATGAATGTAAAGAGTAAGGGAAAGAAGAACACCGAGATTTATACTGGTTCACCACCTCGTGGCTAGTTCAGTCCTCTGAGAGACTCACTAATCTTCAAGCTTCAATGGGTGCTTGAAAAACCGGTACAACTTGAGAACTTAAATCACACAAGCCTCACTTTCTTACAACACCAAGAGTTGAGTCACACAAGTCTTAACAACAACAACTCAAACAAGATGAGTTTAACAACACAAGAAATAAAGCTCACAAATGAGCAAGTACTGTTTAAAGTGTAAGCTCTATTGGATGACAATCTCTTTTATTAGAATATTTGAGTATTTTTCTAATTCTATTTTTCTTCACTTTATTTATAAAAAATCAATGAATAAATAAAATTTCATTCCTCAAAAAGATACGTTCTTAAACTCTAAAAGATTTATATTCGTTTATTTTACGGGCTTGAATTATTTTACATCCAAAAAACTAAAAAAAAATATCAAATATATTTGTAAATCTCTATTTGAATCATTGGATCGCCCTTATTGTGTTTTTATATTCATATTTTTTGAATTAATGCGGGGGAGTTGAATCACTGGATTTTAAATGTTTTTTTAGTTATAATTTTTTTGAACCATAGTATTTCTAATCTAATATTTTATTTTTTGAATGATGCAGTGAGAGAAGAATCATATTTTTTTAACCAATACAAGAGAGGAGAATAATATTAATATCAGAGAGATGAATAACATGTATTTCACTAATTTAAATTAATGTGGCGATACAAGGTAGAAGAATCGCATACTTTGAATCATAAGGTTGGTAATCTTATTTTTTAATTAATATAATGAAGAATAATTATAGGATCACAATTTTTTTGTTTTTTAATTAAACCGGGTAAAGGAAAATCATATTATTTAAAAATTAATTTGGGAGAAGAGAGTCATATCAGTGCAAGGAAATAAATTAATTTTCTCGATAATCTAAATCAATGCAAGCGATCATATAGTTTGTCCATCAATGATGATGGTATAATAATAGAGTTTATAAATGAGAACAAATGTTTGTAAATATCAAACCACAAAATCATTTTAATTTGAAGAATGTTGTACACTTGTACCCATTATGTTATTCACGAACATCAATATATTCAGCAATCTTTTTTTTGAAGTCTATAATCAGCCATCTGAATTATATAATAGTACAAGGTTAAGCGTTGAAAGTTGTGAAAAATTACTTCGGCACAATTGTAGGATTCAATCTTTAGTGACATATTGACCCCTGTCAGTATTGCCTCCTTTTTTTGTAGTGAACTTTCATTAACAAGTGCTATATGTTTTATGTTGTTCGATATTTAAAAAATTTTGAAACAATGAAAAATTATAAAAACAAAAATTATCATTTCACCCCGTGCATGGCACGAGTTAAAATAGTAGTCCTTTACTATAATATTTGAGACTCATGTCTCCAAGAAGTTGACATGTGTCATCTTACTTGACAATTTTTAAATGACATGACAAATGAATAAATTACATGGCATGCTTTAAATTCTCATTCATCATTTATGAAAAATTGTTTCTAATAATCTTTAAAATATGATAAGTTTAAAATAATATATTTTATATTGAAAAATTAAGGACTTTTCAATTTATTGAAAATTATTTAAATGAAATAAATGTTATAAATTTTCAACAAAAATTAAATAAATTATTCATAAAAAAGAAACTAATCATGGTTAGCCTGGGTCTTTTTTTCATAAAAACGACAATAATATTAAAAGTCTTTTGAGTAAAATATAGTTTTTCAAAACTTATTTTAAAAATGTCTATAATTTCAAAAGGTTGCACACACCACATCGGTTCATACTATTTTTCGTTCACTTTTTCATTAAAAAGGGGGCATTGATACACATTCCAATCCACATGAGCTGATGAGCATTAGTGCATATTATCATTTTTAAAGATTTTTTCACATATAATTGTTCTTTCCTCTATGATTGTCCTCTTTGGCGCGTAGTGTTTGGGTGAGAATGTCTGGGAAAGCCTGCTGGTGCAGACAAATCTAGCCTGGCCCAGTCGCTTCCATGCCGCTACTGTCCAACCGTGCTGGGTTCCTCGGCGACTGTCTTGCTCACTTGAGAATCCTTCACGATGGCAAGCTACATGACCGGTCACCGAGGTAGTCATCGGGTAGTTTCTTTAAAGATGTTATCTGATCATTCGATGATCTGACCGTGTCATGCCACTCTGTTAGCCTTGGTTTACTAAGGCTCATGTTTTGATGTTAACAAACAATATAAGAGCTTAACGTTTGCTTAAGTGTTTCAGGTACAACAAGAATCCATTAAGATTCGTTCTCAAGAATGAAGTCGAAACACTAAACTAACGTAGAATATAGGTAGAACCGATGAAAAGATAAGATTTTATATACCTATATTCACAAGCTCAAAAGCACTCACAAAATATGTTTAAAACCATCCCATAAACATTTTCAAATATTCAAAAGGTTTTAAACTCAAACGAGAAGGATTAAGGAAATTTTGGAAAATGCAGTACAGTGGCACGGTACCCTATACCGCCTACACGGTAGGGTATACCGCCAACACGGTACCCTAGTACCGTTAGACAGCAGGTACCGCCAGAGACGAATGTGTTAGCCTTGGTTTGCTAAGCCTCATGTTTTGATGTTAACAAACAATATAAGAGCTTGACGTTTGTTTAAGTGTTTCAGGTACAACAAGAATCCATTAAGATTCGGTTCTCAAGAATGAAGTCGAAACACTAAACTAGCGTAGAATTTAGGTAGAAACCGATGTAAGGATATGATTTTATATACCTATATTCACAAGCTCAAAAACACTCACAAAATATGTTTAAAACCCTTTTATAATCATTTTCAAACATTCAAAAGGTTTTAAACAAAATTGGAAATGATTTGGACAAAAATGAAAAAATTGTCAAAATGGTCATAAGGTACCTAGGTACC